ACAAGGGTATTTTTTTGTGGTAAGAAAGTGTTCTACATCTTGATTGTGGTGATTTACATGACCACATGCTATTGTCAAAACTCACAGAACTGTAAACTAAAAGAGATGAATTCTCTTGCATGTAAATTATACCTCAATAAACCTGACTTTAATTTTTAAAAAGTTTTTAAAGATTTTTAAAAAGCTGTTTGCTGGGAAAAAATATAATAAGAATCAGAGCCAAGTAAATGGGGAAAAAATAAGAAGCACAGCTATATAATCCAGGACGAAAGGCACCTGAAGAGAGAACAGATTTTCAAGAGATGCTGAAACCAAAATATTAGGGTTATGATGTCTGTAAAAGACAATTTCATCTTCGCCTGAGAGGTCATCAGGAAAATACAGAGTATCTTAAGAAATGAGAAATAATTTGCCAGTTACTCTAGAGCTGAGACAACTGAGTCACAGAGAGACTGGTAGGCACAATTCTAAAATGCCACCCTCTCCATGCCTGTCCCCAGGTGTACACACCCTGTATAATCTCCTCCACTTGAGTGTGGGTGAGACTTGTAAACATCATGGGAATTCGCTCCCACGATTAGGTGACTAGTCAATGGACTTCGTGTTCATCAAAAGAGAGCTTGTCCTGGTGAACCTGACCTAATCAGGTTAGCCTTTAAAAAAAGGGGCTGGGCCCTTGGTGAAGGGAGAGGTCTCCTGCCATGCTAGGAACTGCTTATGGAGGAGTCTGTGAGGCAAAGACCTGAGTGAGTTCAGCATCTAGGAGCTGAGAGCATTCCCAGGTTAGAATCCGTGGGAAATGGGAGCTGAATTTTACCAACAACCAGTGATCTTAAAAAAAGGACCCCAAACCTCAGATGAGATCAAGGCCTCGGCTAATACCCTGATTTCAGCCTGAGAAGACTCAGCAGAGAAGCCATGCCTGGACTTCTGACCTAGAGAACCTGTAAGATGACACATGTGTGTTGGTTTAAGCCACTAAGTTTGTGGTGATTTGTCACATGGCAACAAAAAACCAATTCAGAGTGAATTAAAATGTGTCCTGCTAGCTTAATTAATGTAGATACTTTCATGGTTTTGATGCCAGTAGCTCTTCAACCAACAGGTCAGCTAGTGTTAATGATTTAATACACTGAATCAAAAAAGCATCACAAAAAGTAACATCACAGAGAGGAAAGAGGAAGACAAACAGGATGACATCTTTGGAGAAAAATCTACCTCAGTTCTGTCCCATGGTAGTCAAGAGAACCCAGCATAGACTGGTGGAGGTTCCCTGGGCTTGTCTGATTGTATTTGATAACTCACTGTCCCTCCTCTACTTCCAGGCTGTGACTGCAGCCACCCAAGTTTAACTCTCTCATCCATGGGCTGGACACCCTCGTGTAGGTCTCCAGGGCCAACAGTGACAATCAGGGCAGAAACATGCCCATGTTCACTGAACTTTCTTAACACTCGTTCTTAACACAATTGCAAGGCTTGGCACCAGGAAACAACCACTCAACCTTATAATCAAAAAAGCAAGCATGAGTCATTCCTGAAGCATCTTTCCATGTATATGAAAAGAGAAATAAGGGTCCTTCCCCGGCCCCCACGGAAGAATACTATTTGAATTACAGATTGCAGTATCTTGCAAATTTAAAAAAATTATCTTTCTTCATTTTCATAACATTACTAGTTCTTTTATTCTACACAGTTGTTCACACTAAATGTCATATAATGAAAATGGAACAAATAATAACTTACCCTGTAACTTTTTAGCCTGATGAAATCAACCTTCATAGAGACAAATCTATCTGAATTTCGACTGATATTCTTAAGGTGTTCTACAAGGTCGGCACAGAACTTGTAACCTCCTTTAAGCACGCACAGGACCATGATGTCGCAGTATCCTATGTCTTTCATGATATCCTTGGCCAGCCGCTCAATTCTGAAAGGAGGAATTGAAAGATAAATTAAAGCCTAACTACTTCTGAGTATTTCTGAGTATCTTCCTTTTGGGAAAATGTGTGATGCACTATGCATATTAGATTATGCAGAGAAATGGAGAGAAGAGCTTGGGAAACAGGAGGATGCCGATAAAGGAGCTTTGTTAAAGATGGACAGAGAGAGAGAGAGTGTTCAGAACGTGCATCGGACAACCACATCATCAGTTGCATATTTTTGCTCCTCTGTGTCACAAAGATGATTAAGGTGTAAAATATAAAGTCAAAGATCACGAATGCTATTATTTTATCACTACAGAGCCGAGTTGTTCCCTTAAGGCTACGACGGTATTTGCTGATATCACGCTCACTTTATAGCAGAGAAAAAGGAAATGAAGAATGATTCACCCACTTTACAACATTCGAGGAGACTGGAGGAAAAGTCAAGCCCATAGTAACTATCAAAAGAATAACATTTGCCTTACATTTGACAAAGATAGCACACGACCTCTGCTAAAGGTACCTTAGAGTATGTCTCCAGCAGGCACCATTTCCACGGCACACAATGTGAATGATGCCTGTGGAGTTCTGCACCAAGGCAGCCTTGGGCTGGAACCCAACACCTAACCTGGAACCGTCATTGTATTTTTTTTTCATTGTTTCATGTCTTTAAGTCCATTGCCCATACACCTATACAACATTAAAATCCTGAATGGAGGCAGGATCTAAGGTACATTTTTAAAAAATTCCACTGGCATCTTAAACAGAATTAGATTTAAAACAGATAAACTGAATGATCTATATTTACATCGATATTGATATAGATATAGATATAATATATACACACATATATATAAAAACATTGTTACATATGATCTACATATATAATATGTAATTAAATAATATATTTATACATTATGTTTTTGATGCCTCTCTTTTGTTTTTATTTCATTTAAAAAATTCAAAACAAATTTTTAATCAATTAAAAAATGTTCTTTAATTATAGTTGACATACAACATTATATTAGTTTCAGGTGTACAACATAGTGATTAGACATTTATGGAACTTATGAAGCGATCACCCAGTAAGTCTAGTACCCATCTGACACCACATAGTTATTACAATATTATTGACTATACTCCCTATGCTGTACTTAACATCCCTGTGACTGTTTTTATAACTGGCAATTTGTACTTTTTAATCCCTTCATCTTTTTTACCCTATTATATATATGTGTGTACATATTATATCTATATCTATATAAGCAACCATGGCTTCAGGCAATGTTTCTCAAAATAGGATCATCAAAAACCGTATATCAGTATGCCAGATATTCCATAAAAAAGAAGCATTCGTTCCCAGCACGATGGAGTAAGGAGATTAACATATCCTCTCCATAGACAGCAAGAATAAAGCTGGTCAAGACTGTTCAAAACTACGATTTCAGCACTCTGAAAATCAACCAAAAGTATACAACAAACAGAATCATTTGTTCATGAAAACGCTGAACACTGGGTACAAACGGCTCGAGTCTGTGGGATTTCTGCCCAAGAATGCCCCCACTGTCCCCCTCCCACCTCTACCCAGCTCCAGCTCTGTTGCTCAACCAGGTAGTTCAGCTAGGGCAGGGCATTGCCAGAGGGAGCCCGCCTGACTGCAAGCACTGTCAGCCTATATAGCCATCCTGGGAGCGTGAAAACAGGGAGGCCAGTGGCTCCATTTTCCTGTGTTCACAGACCTGTTTGAGCAACTAACTGGTTAGACCAGTCCGAGATTTGATAGGGAATTCCGAGAGGTTAGAGTCATAGGAGAGGGCTAGACGACAGATTCCCCACATGTCCGAAACTGACCAGAAGTTATGTGTATGCACAGCAGAGACCAGAGGGGGCCCGAGCCACCCACACATCCTCCGATGATGGAGTCTGTAAGCAGGTACAGGGGAGACACAAGAAATCCCAGTGGAATGTAAACGCCAAGGAAGACTTGGAAAAGCCTGGAAACTTGAATGTGCCTGCAAACCCCCACACACATTCATCAGCAGAGTGGACGCCTTACTGGCTCAAGGTGTCTGAGTACAATCTCTAACCAATCTTAGGCTGAACACTAAGCTATTGAGACACAGGGGTGAACCCTAGTACGTGAGGCTTAAAAATGAAAAGAAGAAAAATAACCTGCACATCCTCAGAGACCACACATTGTGGGAGAGACATATTTCAGAGTGGAAGACAAAAAAAAAAATTGAATGAAATGAAAAACAAGGGCAATGCATAGGAAATATATACAAATATGATAGATATTAAACCAACTATATCAATAATCACTTTAAATGTGAATGATCTAAATACACCAATTAAAAGGCTGAGACTATCAGAATGAATTAAAAAACACCTTAATGTATGTTGTCTACAAGAAGTACAATTTAAATATAAAGACACAATATTAACAGTAAAAGGAGGAAGAAAGATGTACCATGCTAACATTAATCAAAAGCTGGGGTAATTTCAGACATAGCAGACTCCAGAGCAAGGAACTTAGCATGAATAAAAAAGGGCATTACATAATAATAAAGAAGTCAATTCTCCAAGAAGACATAACAATCCTTAATGTGCAAGCACCTAACAACATAGTGTCAAAACAAGGAGAGACAGATGAATCCACGACTGCAGCTGCAGGCTTCAAAACCCCTCTCTCAGTAACTGACAGACCCAATAGGCAGGAAACTAGGAAGGATATAGTTGAAATGAACAATACCATAAGCCAACTGGATTTAATTGATGTTTCTAGAATACTCCATCCAACTTTCTTCTCAAAAGACATCAAAAAGAAAATGAAAAGATAAGCCACAGACTGGGGAAAAATACTTGCAAATGGTATATCTGATAAAGGACTTGCATCTAGAATATATAAAGAACACTTACGACTCTATAAAATGACAAACAACCCAATTGAAAAACTGGCAAAAAGACTTAAATAGACATCTCTCCTAAGACATATAATAGCTAATAAGCACATTAATCATAAGGAAAATGCAAATTAAATCCACAATAAGATACTCTTACATCTCCATTAGCATGGCTATAATCAGATGGACAGACAATACTAAATGTTGACAAGTATATGGAGAAACTGGAAACTTCATACACTGCTGGTGGAAATGGAAAATGGCACGGCCACTTTGGAAAATAGTTGGCAGTTTCTTAAACTTATCATAAAAGCTAGTATTTCACTTCAAGGTGTACATCCAAGAGAAATGAAAAGAGATGTCTACACAAAGAATGTTTATAAAAGCATTATTTATAAGAGCCAAAAACTAGAAATCTGAATGTCCATCGATTGGTGAATCGGAAAATATTGCATGATTTAATTTGCATGAAATGTCCAGAAAAGACCAATTTATATAGAAAGAAATCAGAATAGTGACTGCCCGATACTGAGGGTAGCAGCAGAGGTTGAAAGCAAACAAACTTTGGGGGATGATAGGAATATTGTAAAATGATGGTGGTAATGGTTGCCCAACCATAAAATTTACTAAAAACCATTGAATCATTTACCTACAATGGATGAATTTTATAGTATGTAAATTATATCTTAATAAATTCATTTTAAAGGTGGGATGGG